GACCTTGGCTGCTCTTGCAGGCTGGGCTGCCCGCTCCTCTGCCACCGCTTCCGCCGCCAGCGCCCCTGCTGCAAGAGCCGCCGCGCCACCGCTAGCGCCTGCTGCCGCCGCTGGGGCTATCAAGGCACCCCCGTCCGGCTGCGCCGCGTCCGCCGCCGTTGCCGCCGGCTTGGCTCGCTGTATCAAGCGCTTGGGCGCCGCCGGCGCCGCCGCTGCCGCGCCGGCGGGTGCGCTCGCGGCAGCTGCCGCCTTCCGTCCGTCCGAGCCGCCGCCGCCCGCGCCCGCTGCTGCAGTCACCGCCGCCCCCGCCGCCGCCGCCGTTGCTGCTTTGGAGGCCTTCGAAGGGGCGCCACTCTTGGCGGGTTGGGCCCCTCCGCTTGGCAGCGGCGCCGTCCCCACCTCCTTATCAATCTTGCCCTTGGGATTGCTGCTGCTGGTGCCAACCCCGCTGCCTTTGCTGCCGTCTGATCCCGGCGCCCCCGCTGCTGCCGCCGCCGGCGCCACCGTCGCCGGGCGGGCGCTTCTGCCGCCCTTCGCAGGCTGCCGCAGCGCCGCCGCCGCCGCCGCCTCCGCCGCGCCGGCCGCCGCATCGTCGATCTCACCGCCGGCCCCTCGTGCGGCCGCCTTCTTGCCCTTGGCCGGCTGGGGCGCGGCCGCCGGTGGTGCGATAACATACCTACCCTTCGTTGCCGAAGCCGCTGGCGCCGCCGCTTCTGATATTGCTTCGAGGCCGCCTGATGCTAAACTCGTGCCTGCGCCGCGCCCAGCCGCGACACGCCGGCCGCCCCCGCGGCCGCCGCCGCGCCCGCCGCCGCCACGGCCCCCTGACTCATACCTTGCCCTCAGAAAAGCCATGAGCGGCGTCACGACCACTGCCGTCCCGGCGCCGCCGCCGCCGCTGCTGCTGCTGTCGCCGGCCGCGGATGAGAATCGCGCCTCCGCTTCTCGTGACTCCAGCTGAGCCACCGCGCTCGGCAGAGACTGGCCGCCGGATTCGAGGGCCTCACAAAAAGCAATGTAATCCCGGTCTGCTCAGAGGGGGGCGAGTGAGGCGGCGGCAGTTGCGGGAGGCGACCAGGCGCGCCCCGGAGGCGCGCGCGCATGCCCTGCGCTGCTGCGCTGCCGCCGCGGCCGCTCCGAGACATTAGGCCCCGACGGCCGGCCGGCGGCGCGCGCCGCCGTGTGCCTTGTTTCCCGTCGGGATGCAGGCGTGGGAGCGGGCTGCGGCCGCCTGCGTCTGCTGCTGTGTCGCCTCCTCACCCTTCTCAATGGTGCCCTCCATTGGCGCCTTCTTGGTGGGCGGCTTGGGCACCCGCTGTGAGGGCGCGTACTCCACAGTGCACCTGAGCGGGGCAGCGGGGAGGGGGGAGTCGGTTGGGCCTTGCCCGGTGTGCATGCACCGGCGAGTGGCGGCACGCGGGGTCGTTGTTGGGGGAGACGCTCGAGGTGCGTGACACAACAGTCACCGGCCAGCCTTCAAAAAACACTGGCAACTAGAATTGGATCGACTTGCGGCACGGGCTTGCGGCGCCCTGCATTATGCAGGCGCCGCAATGCCCCGCGCTCGCCGCTCCACCATGTCGTCCCTGTGCTGCAAACCTGTACTGAGTGCCCTTCGTGCTGACAAAGACATGGCCGTCGAACCGCGTTTTGAACTCGATGACGTCATCGGGTGTCAGGAAGTCAAAGTAGGCGCGCGAGTGCAGCGTGCGGCGGAGGCTGCGGCGGGCAGGCGGACGCGCGGGGCCGGGGCTGCAGGTTTGGGGGGCAGTCTGGCGGGTGGCGGCAGTGCTGGCACACCATGCGATGCCCGTCGACTGCACAGCCGCTGCCTGTCCACTGGTCACCAGCGCGAGGGAGCTGCCGCCCGGCCACGCCCCATGCCTGCGCAGGAATCCTCTCTGCGCCGCACCTGACTTTCCCGGGGTAGTATGCGCTCCAGCCGTAGCGGCCGCCGACTATCTTATCTACCACAGCACGGAGCGCCTCCTCCGTGAGTGCAGGTGGCAGGTTGCGCACCACCACCTTGGTGCGTTCCTGCGGCTTCGTCATGGCGCTACTGCGCCAGAGGCGATTTCAGTATGGTGCCTGGCATGCAGGAGCGCCCTGCTGAAGCCAGACGAAGCTGCTGCCGTGAAAGATTATCAGATCAGCAATAATTCCTTCTCGTTTGATTGTGTGTGATGTGATCAACACAACATTGATTTGAGAAATGTTGTATGACATATACCCTGTAACCTTCACACCTAAGATCAGGGCGACCACAGACTGTGCATCGCCAAGCATGCAGCTAAGGCACTTCGGCACAACGCCTTACCATGGTACTTGTCTGGAGAGATTCCACCCACAACGCAGCGTGCCCCGCTGCGCTGTACAAGAAGTGATGCGCGATACAGTAGCCCGCAGCGGCACGGGCAGCATCGGGCGCGAAATAACGTGGCATGCAAATCGGCAGCATTCCCTACCCCTACAAGGCCGCCCCCCCCCCCCCAGTTGCATGTGCAAACTAGAACCGTAACCAGGCGTGTGGAATCCGCCAGGGCGCGCAATCACCCAGCACCTCAGTGCGTCACAGCTGCGGCAGCACTGCCACTTGCCGCAGTCATGCAGGGCAGCCGCAGGCCGATGACACCTGCTGGACGGCAGCGCCACATGTGGTATCATGTTGTTTTGCTTGAAGGGCTGTCAGCACAAGCAATCAGCAGTGCCTGCAGCACCATAATCAATTACTTGGCACCTGGTAGCCGCAGTCCCCGGTGCACTTTCAGCACCCGCCGAATAGTCAAGGAAAACCTCTCCCCAGTCCGAGGCAGCACGTACTCCGAGGTTTGCTGCCCGTTGCCCCCGGTCGCCCCTGCCTGGAGGCCCTCTGCCAGCCCCGCCGCCTCCGCCGACGCCGCTGGCGTTGCCGCTACTGCATCAGCCGCCACCGCCACAGCCGCGCGCACCTGATCGCTGCAGCCCGCGCCGCCGCCGCAGCCGCAGGGGCCCGCAGGCTGCCCCAACGCGGCTGCACTGCTGCCCCGGTCGCCACTGATGCCACTGCTGCCGCTTAGCGCGGCCGCCGTGGGGTCAACAGCCCGCAGGCAGGCAGCTGCTAGGCAGCTTCTCCTGTTGATTACACTGTGGTCCAGCCGCTCTTCAGTGACCTCCTCAATGCCGTGCAGACACTTCTCATACGCATCCCCCGCGAATACCAGCAGGCTGCGCGGCGGCAGGGCCACAGACGAGCGCGGCGGCAGGCCCCCGGCGCCGCCTGCGCGGGCGAGCGCAGGGGCGCGGGGAAGGCGGCGGCTGGGGGCGGCGAGGAGACGCGTCTCAGGCGAAGCGAGCCACCGCAATCAGCGACGCGACCGAAAGCGGCCGCCGCGACGACACGGCCTCGCGCCTCCTTTCCAATGCTTCTCCTGGCGGCCAAAAGATGCACACTGCACCCTCCAAAAAGGGTCCTTCAACACCTACTTCAACTCAAAGCCACGTGCGTCCCTGCCTTCCCCCCTCCCCACTTTTCGTTTTCCCCCCGCGCCCGCTCACCCTCCTCTCTCTTCTCCCAGAAACGGATGACGCAGGGCGACCCCAGCGATAGGATGCACACCACAGGGGCGTACAGGGGCCCGTCGCTGTGCGGCTGCAGGGGGCATCAGCGCGCAAAGGGGGGGCCAAAGGTTTGAGCGACACCAGGGGCCGGAACAGGAGCAGGGACCAAGGGGTCCAGCACGGCCGCGCGTTTGACGGGCGGCGCGTGGTGCACAGGCCTGGCCGCCGGCGTCGCACAGAGAGGCACACGCGCTCGCATGCAGCAGCCGACCCGTCCTGCGTTACGGGTCGCTGCTCAAACGAGGCATCCCGACCGCCAGCCGTTCTGCGGGGCCCAGCCCAGCCGCGCACCAATATGCCCTCCCCCGGGCGGTACGAATTGATGAGGACGTGGTTCGCGCCCCCGGCCGCCCCCAGCGGCGCCACGTCGCCGGTGACGCGCCCGGCCAGCGGCGACAGCCAGGAGGGCATCGGGGCCGGCAAAAGGAAGCCCTTGGAGTGCACGACGCCGCCGTGGTTCTGAAGGCGTCGCCCAGAGAGCTGTGCGGCCACGCGGCAATTCGCGTTCAAATGCATTTGATTGTGTGCAAGTGGGTTTGGTCGTTCGGTAGGATTCAGTTGTGTTACGGTTGGGTTCAGTTGGGTGCGGTTTGTGTGTGTGTGCTTTCTCAGTAGAGCGGCGGCAGTCTTCACGGCGGACTGCTGGAAGCCCTAATATGAACAGGTCATTATCACTGCTTCCTGCGCGCGTGTGCGGTGCGCCATGCGGAGCGCTTTCGCAAGGCGTCCCCTGAGCCGTCGCCGGTCGCCCCTCGCTTCGGTCCCGCCGCCAACCGACCGAGGCGCACCTGCACCCAGGCCTGCTGCGACGCGGAGATCTGGCGGGCCAGGGACTGCTCCTCCAGGGGGCTCACGTAATCAGGCACCAAATACACATCAGACAGGTCATATGGGGGCGCGCCCCTCAGGCGGAACCTCTCTAGATCCAGCACCATTTCGCCTGCTGTTCATGTGGCGGGGTCTCGCATGCCTCACTCCACCCGCCTTGGGCGCTGCTGCAGCGGGTTCAGCGGACTGGCTGGCTGGTCGGCTGCCTGTGTTTGGAAGGTGCTGCAGCAGCGGCAGCAAGCTGGAGCTTCAGGCGTGCTACCGGCAACCAGCCAAGGCGCGGGCCTGAACGGCAGTGTCAGAATCCCGATGGCTTCATCGTCCAAGTCGCGACAAGCATGGACCAACTAAGTGCCTGGAGTATTCGATCGGTGCCGACAAGCGTTGATCTAGTCAGCCGCAAGCAACCACTGGGAACACGTATCAAAGCGTGAGCTAATCCAGCCTCTTCGCTTCGTAGAACCAAAGTGCTCCTGTAACTGTCTCATCACTCCAGCACCACGTCACCTGCCGACGCAGTTACTCAATTACCGTGCTGGATGATACCGATACGTCCTGCGTGAACATACATCGATCTAATCACCTGTTTTAGTTTGTGATTGTTTCATGCTGTATCCCCACTCCCACAGATCACCGCTGACAATCACAAACAAGCCTGCAAACAGCAAAGCATCTACACAGACGTGCTTGAGACCAATAAGCTGCTGATGTACGGCGCTGAGCAAACAACAGTCCCAGCAGCTGGCGGCGGCGACGCCGATGCAGCACCAGCAAGCACAGCAGGCGCCGCCGCGTCGATGCCGCCCCCGGCCGCCGGCGGCTTCAAGCAGCGGAAGAACCGCGGCAACCTGCGCAAGCGCGCCGCGGACGAAGGCGGCGCCACGGGCGGCGGCGGCGGCGAGGACGACGAAACAGAGGTCGTGCGAAAGGCGAAGCAGACAAAGGGGGACCCCTTGGCGTTCAGCACTAAGAAAGAATCCAAAGAGGACGTGGTGGTCACATATGCCAGCAGCCAGGCGCTCCCGATCGGCGGGGACAGCGGCGCGACGCGGATACTGGAGACTGAGACCGAGTTTGATCGGGATGCCAGGTGTGCGCTTGTGTTGAGGGGCGGCGTGCGCAGGGGCACAGGCGAAGGGGGTGCAGGCGGCAGCTCGTTGGCAGCGCATGGGGCATGCTGGCCATGCAGTCTTGAGAGGCGCGCGCGCCGTGGGGCAGCTGCATGCATGGGGGCTCTAGCCTTTGTGTCTGTTCCTCTCGCGCTCGTGGCTGCTGCGCAGGATGCATGGCATGCTTGCAGCTAGTTCGCATGCGCATGCGCACCAGCCCCAGTGGCGGCGGGACCACGCGCGTCGCACCCCTGCCGCCGCGCCGGCGCAGCGCTCCCTTGATAACCGCGCCCGCACGCGCGCCCCTCAAACCCCCTCCGCTGCAGGGCGCGGCGGGAGCGCGTGTTGCAGCAGGGGGCCGAGGGCGGCGGGCAGGGTGACGGCACGTACAAGGGGATGACGGGTTACACCGACTACAGGGCAGGCTTCAGGCGGGAGCAGACGGTGCGCGGCGCGGGGGCGCGTTTGGTCCGTTTTTTCTGCCCCGAGGGCTGACCTGTGCAGGCTTTTGTTGTCGTTATTGCGGCGGGGGCCCGCTGTGATGGTCATTTCGTCGCAGGGGCCACGCGGCCGCCAGCCATGCGGAGGGAGGTCGCCGCCCTCGGTGCCCGCCTGCCCCTCTCCCAATGACCTCATCCGTCGCGCCCCGCCGCCCGGCCGGCCGGCCCCCACCGACGGCACACCACGCAGGTCGGGTCCGAGAAGGGCGCCGGCGCGCATGGCCCGCTGCGCGCGAGCGCGTACGTACGGGTGTCTGCGCGGTTTGACTACCAACCGGACCTTTGTAAGGATTACAAAGAGACGGGATTCTGCAGCTATGGCGATGCGTGCAAGTTCATGCACGACAGGGGGGACTACAAGAGCGGCTGGGAGCTGGAGAGGGTAAGGGCCCTGAAAGTTTGCGTGTGTGTGTGTGTGTGTGCCTGTGTGTGTGTGCGTGCGTGTTTGTGTGCCTGTGTGTATGTGCGTGCGTGTTTGTGTGCATGCGTGGATGCGTGGGTGTGTTGTTGCGTATGTGGGTATCAGAGAGAAGACCGCGCAATCGCGGCATCGGCCAGGCCAGCATTCTACGTGTTGGGGGAGGCCATTTCTGTGAGGGTGTGTTGTTGCGATGGTCGCAACACTTTCAACCGACAGCTGGGTTAGGGAGCCCTCTGAGGGTGTCAGTTTCACCAGCCCTTGGTGGGTGTTGTGGGCACCTGGTCTGTGTTTGCTGTGTAACCTGCAAAGCTACCTCTAGAGAGCTGACCGTCGCGCGGCCCATCCCCTGTGTCCCCCCCCCTTTGCTTTGCCACTGCCCTCAGGAGTGGGAGGAGGAGCAGAAGCGGCGGCAGGAGGCCCTTACTAAAGGCTGGGCCGGCGAGGACGGCGAGGAGGGGGAGGGCGGCGGCGGCCACGGCGAGGAAGAGGAGGACGACGAGCTGCCCTTTGCGTGCTACATATGCAGGAAGCCGTGGGGGGAGTGCAAGAGCGACCCCGTGGTGACCAAGTGCAAGCACTACTTCTGCGAGAGCTGCGCCCTCAAGTGAGCGCAAGGGCGGCGTAGAGTGTCAATTCACGCCGCGGTTGTGAATGCACGACCACGGCGGCCCGTGTTTTCATCGGGGCTGATGGGGGCGCCAGGCGTGTCGTTTCTGGTGTGTCTCATGTGCGCGGTCGTTGCATTAGCAGGCCGACTGACGGGGCCGGCTCGGCCGCGCCTGGCTTCCCTCTTCCCCCCGGCTGCAATTGCGTCATGGCCACCCATCATGCCCTTTTGCGCCCCAAAGTTCACCGCCCTTAGCCCCTCAACCCTCGCCTTGGCTCCTAATCACAAACCTCACCTGATCCGGCCCTCGACCTCTCCCTCGCCCCCCTTGACAGGCACAACGCCAAGACTGGCAAGTGCGCGACGTGCGAGCAGCCGACGCAGGGCATCTTCAACCTGGCCACTGATGTCATCAAAAAGATGAAGCGCCTCAAGGATAAAGAGGGGGCGGCCGTCCAGTGACCAGCGGGTGTGACCAGCTAGTGCCTAGTGACCACGGACACTTTTGACCAAGTGACGCGTTGGCTGCTGACAGTTGACTGCCGACTGGGTGACTGCTGGTCGATAGTTGTAAGCCCGGCCCCACTGTAAATCCTTTCACCCCTGTAACATGTCGCCTCCCTCCCCTGGCCCTGTTTTCAGTTGCCAACATTACGACGCACATGCACACATGTCATTGTCCGGCAGGGTGGGCACATGCATGCGAGCCGGGGTTGTGGATTCCACAAACCCGGGGCTGTGGATCATCGGGGCAGCGGGGGCGTGACGTCACTATGTGGTTGTGCAGTCTCGAGGCAGCTGATGAGGTCCTCCATTACAACTGACGTTTCCACCAGCACCGCCAGGAAGGGATCAAGCCAATAAGAGGGATCAAGCCAAAAAGAGGGGGTGGGAAACGGCGCCGCTGCCAGCATGACAGCCGGGCCTGTGAGATTCCCAGCAACCGAGACAAGAGAAAGACTCGATCGAGATCCCCTGCAGAGGCGCAAGTGCAGGGTGCCCTTCGATTTGCAGCGACAAGCAATTAACAAATGTCCACAAGCATGAGTTGCTGCAGGTGCATATTTGCAACTGGGAACAACAAGCAAACGTAACTGCACTCTCTTGAGCAACCAGTACAGCCATTCAGAGGCAATCCGAGTCAAAAGCTGCTCGTTACAGCCGCCTGCATAAACCGATGGTCACTCTGCGCAACAGGCAGCGCCCCGCTTGGCTGATCAATCAGCGGCGGGTGCCTGTCACGCGGTCGCCCACAGCGGCTTGAGGCCAAAGTCACGCACCAGGGCGGCCGCGCAGTTGTGGCCGGCGGCGCCCAGGACGCTCCCAGCGGGGTGGGTGCCCGCGGATGCGCTGTAGAGGCCCTCGACGGGTGTCCTAGAGATCGGAAATGTGTGTGTGTGTGTGTGTGTGTGTAGTCAGGAATTGAGCATGGAATGGGAGGGAGATTTGTGTGTGTGTGTGTGTGTGTGTGCGTTTGGGGGGGAGGGAAGGCATGGAGTCACTACAGAAATCAATTGCGGGTGTGAAGACCAGGACACCACGAACAAGTAGAGCGCGTGATGGCAACTGCCCTCCCGTCAAAGCAAGCAGCGCGATGTTGAGGGCTTGTGCACACGGTGCTGAAACGGTGATGAGCTTTTTTGCATCTCGACCCACTGACCTGTAAGGGAACCTGTCGGTGAACCCAAACCCGTTGTCGATGTGGTGGATGTGACCTCGCGTGATGCCAAAGTATGACTGTGTTTGAACGGTTGGTGAAGTTCGGAGCGTTGGAAATGGCATGTGATGGTTGAAGCGGAGCGTGAGCGATCTGAGCCTTCTGTACGCACAGGGGCCAAGAGAGCAGCAGGGTTTTGTGAACGAGCAGTTTGAAGCTAAGAAACGGCTCAGCATCCCTCGGTCCCACCCGCCCTGGATAGAATGCAGCGAGCCGAGAGGCAACCCTTGAATTGCCATCTCACGCGTCTTCAGGCACCCTCTGACCTCAATCTTGGGGGGTGTCAGCGTGAACGAGTCAGCCACCAGGTCAGAGGTGCCTGGGGTTGTGGAGGGGGTGATGGGTGCACCCGTCAGGGGCGCCTCAATATAGATGCGCGACCGCGTCAGCTCACGGCTCAGTGATATGAATCACCGTGGCAGCCCCTGCATTGAAGACCTCCGAATCCGCTAGAGGTAATGGGGCCGCCTCCCGTCCGATTTTAAGAGCGCGCCCCCGCGGTCAAACCCCGGTCAAACCGCCCGCGCGCGCACCAGGCGCGAAGCGGTCGCAGATGGAGAGCAGGTGCTGCACGTACTTCTCCTCCTCGGCCTCCCAGGTGGTGCCCTTGAGCTCGTAGGGCACCCACTGCACGAAAAGAGCGCTGCTGTGGTGGCCGCCCTCATCCTGTATCGATTTAATTGATGAATTGATTGATCAATTGATTGATTGATCGATTATTTAATTGATTAATTGATCGATTAATTGATTAAAAA